CTGCTCTTGAGGAAATGGGGAAGGCTGGAATGTGTCCGGTGAGGACAAGGCTTCTGACTGGAGCAGCTGGAATAAGCGGTGGGGAGATTCCAGCCTGAGGGAGTGTGGCAGAGGCCTGAAGGTGAGGAGGGACAAGCAGGCGCAGCCAGGGAAGGATATGTAGGCCAGATCCCCAGTCTGTAATTATCACACTGGCCGTACACAGTAGTCTTGGGAAGAGAAAAAAAAAGTCACCAAGAATAAAAGCTCCTGCCTGCCCTATATGTCCTCCGACAGCATCTCAGCCATCCTTAGTGCCCTCCCTGGCCAGAGAGAAAAAGTCACCAAGAATAAAGCTCCTGCCTGTCCTATATGTCCTCCCACAGCATCTCAGCCATCCTTAGTGGCTCATCCTGGCTGGGCTCTGGAGGGCTATGTGTAAGGCAAAGGAGAAACCCTATGGGAAATGGGGGAAGCGGGATATCATTTCCCCAAACTCCAGCCATAGGATGTTCCCAAAGGACAGGGCCCAGGCCTCCTGTCACTTCCGTAGCCAGTTGGGCAGGAAATAAAGGCCCAGGACACAGGCCTGTCAGGGGAAGGAGGCAGCTGGGTAAAGCTTACTCAGCCAAGCAACCCTGCCAAAAGCCCAAAGCTACAGTTTTGTTTATGGAAAGGAGTCGCTGGTGCCACACCTCGCCCACCCTGCCCTTCCCTCCCATCTGAATTGGTCTCAACAAAGTCCCTAGGAAGGACAGGATTGGCTGTGGTAGCTCAGGCTTTGGGTGAGCTGTCATTGGGTGAGGTGCCCCAGTGGAGCTGGCACTGAGAACAAGGGTCAGACCTAGGGGCTTTTGGGTAGTCATTCTCCAGTACCTTAACTAATTGTCCTCATCTTTCTGGTGAACATGGATGAGAGATAAGTACCTGAACCAACATGGGGATGCTGAGGGTCTCAGCCCAGGCCTTACTCCCATGTCCTGATATCACCCAAATTTCCCCATGACCATATCTCTCCTGGTGATGTTGTCCCGGCCTCACATAGACTGCAAGCCCTGGCATGCACGCTGAAGCTTCTGTCGCCTTCTCTGCCTTTGGCCTAGCTCCCTCATCTGCATCTTGGCGCTGCCCCTTGGAAGGCCTGCAGCTCACGTTGGATACCCAGATGCTGAGATGCACAGATTAAGTCTTCTGTCAGCCTTCAGCAGTGGGCTCAAGGAGGCTGACTCTAGAGGTATCTGCATGGTTCCCTGGCAGCATCTTCCTCCCCTGGAGTGACAGAGGCTTGCATTGTGCACCATTCCTTCTGTGACTACACAGTGGGGCTCCCAGGCAGAAGGCTGAGGAAGGATCAAGGTTGGAAGGAAAAAGGGACCCCTGGGCACAGAGACAGCTGTCTGCATGGTATTTGTGCCTCACCACCTCTTCTGCCAGGGTCACCTGTGGGCCACTTTGCAGTCACAAACTCAGACCAAGCTGTGTCCATCTAAGGAAAAGGGCCCACTAAATGGTAGACCTGACAAGCAGGGGTATTTGAAGAGATCTTTCTCCTTTTCCTACCTTCTGAGGGAAGCAGGATCCTACTGGAAATGCCCCACAAGTCCTCTTCCTAAGAGAATTAGGACCAGGAGCCAACTTGAGAATGGCAGTGGCCAGGGAGCAGCCACTGACTCCAGCACTCAGCCAGTGCCAGGCGGCACCACCCATGTCTGGAATCAGAAACAGTCCTGTTCTTGGCCTCCCCAAGTGTTGTCCTGGCCACTAGCCGCCTGGTCATGTCTGGCACTCATTGCCACCTGCTGGCTACCAGCCCATGGCCCCGTGCTCTAATACTGACTTCCTGAACCCCAAACTCTGTTACTAGCCACAGCAGAGAGCTGCCACCAATGCTGCAAGCACCAAGCAGGTAGCAATCGTGTCCCATAAGGTGGTCAAGCCTCCAAGGCACAGGGCCCTCCCTGAAGCCTGGGGTCCTGTCTCTGTCGAACACCTTTGTGGAGCTGAAGCAATGTGTAAAAGTCCAGATGGATGTCAAGGTCCAGTCCCAGCAGGAACAGAAAGCACTCCTTGCTGGTACTGTTTGTAAAATGTCATCATTATAATTACCAGCATCCTCCCGCAGTCCTTCCCATTTATCATCTCAGCTGCCAGCCTGTCAGCCACCAAACTTGCAGGTGTTCAGGTTCCTGGGCACAAGTCTTACTTGGGCCCTCGGAGTCCTTAGTTCAGAATCTCAAAGGCCAGGAGCCAGTCTTCAGGACCCTGAGCCCAACCTGCACCGGATCACTGCTGAAGCAGGGTAGAATCATAACGCCCGATGATCAAATTATCTGACCTACTTCTGCCAATATTAATAGCTCTAGAGCCTGGCGACCAGGGCTGGAACAGTCTAGGATGAAACACAGTTCGAGGAACTGTTGACTTGGGTTTGTTCTCAGCCAGACAGCTGGAAGGTGCATGGGACCAGTTGGGATGGGGGGGAGGGGTATAAGTGAAAGGAGAGAGTCCTCTGGCCCCTTACAGCTTCTCATTCTGTGTCATGAGAACCCAGGAGGATGGCCTGAAGACCAGATGTCACTCAGGGGTAGTGTTCCAGTGCTTGTGCCCAGGCCTCTGAGACCTTGGGTGACCTGTGCCCTGCGTTATACTGGGTCTGATCTGAGACCAGGCCTCTCCTCCTTCCCCAGCCCTGCTGCTTGACTTGGCCCAAGCTGACCAAAGCCCACATGACAAGCAGCCTTATCAGTAGGAGGACAGCTCCCCCACTTCCTTCCTCTGCCCTCCTTTCCTGCTCTGACTTTGCACCATGGCTACCTGCAGGTGCCATCACCCCAGGGACAAACCAGGAAAGCCTGAGCTGGGCCAAGTGCCCAGACTATGCCTCCAGGAGAGAACCAGGCACAAGCTGTCCATCTTGGCACCCAGGGGCAGAACCCTGGAGCCCTTCTCTTGAGCTGCCAATTGTGACTCTGGAAGATGCCACAGACTCTTGTTGCCTTATTGATAGATTGGTACAGGACCTTCCCCGAGGAACTAACTCAAGGGGCTGGTGGGCCAGCTGCTGAGTAAGGTTGGATGTTATAGAACCAGATTTTATCCCTAGGTAGAAGGTTCCAGAAACCCTGGAACAACAAATTCAGCATCTGTACCTTTCAGGGAAGCAACAGATTCTGTAGAGGGGTTTTCCATGCACCCAAGGCCTTTGCAGAAATGGGATAGCCTGGAGTTTCAGTCTCCCCTGCGATACTCCCCTCCCCTGCCTGTCCTTGGTGCAGTCAGAACTTTGTTGAAAAAAGCCCACTGATAAAAATAGATATTTAATTTAAATGTGTGTGTGTGTGTGTGTTTCAGGCAAAGACTCATGTGGCCCAGGTTGTCTTCAAGTTCGCTGATTTTTAATCATATTTTTATTTATTAGTTCATGCCACCATGTACAGACAGAAGTCAGCTCAGCGGACAGCCAGGGGGAGTCACTTCTCTGCTTCTGCTGTGTGGTGCCCAGAGATCAGACCCGGGTCATCAGTCTGGGCAGTGAGCGCCTTTTGTCTTCTGACTCATCTCGTTGGTTCTGGACTCCCCAGGTTTGACCTTCTAGGTCTGATCCTCCTTCTCTTGCTTCCCAAGTGTTGGGATTATGGGTGTGTTTTGTCATGCCCGATTTAAAATACATACTTAAAAACCAGAACCTTGGGGCCTGTGAGATGGCTCAGTGGGTAAAAGTGCTTGCTCCCTGGCTCCCTAACAGGGTAGGAGGAAAGTGACTGCAGTATGTTCTCTATCTCTGTCTTACACACACACACACACACACACACTCACACACGAGTAAAGTACACATAAATATAGTGGGTCTGGAGAGATGAGCATCAGTTTGGAGCACTTACTGCTGCCAGGCAGTGGTGGTGCATGCCTTTAATCCCAGCACTCAGGAGGCAGAGGCAAGTAGAGCTTTCTGAGTTAGAGGCCAGCCTGGTCTACTAGTGAATTCCAGGATAGCCAGGGCTCCACAAACAAACCCTGTCTTGAAAAATTAAAAAATAAATAAAGAAAGAAAGAATAAAAAAAAAGAGCACTACTGCTTTCACAGAGGGCCTGGGTTCAGTTCCCACCACCCCTCAATCATCTGTAATTTCAATTCTAGGGCACCTGACACCCTCTTCCGGTCTCTTTAGGCATGTAGTGCCCATATATACATGCAGGCAAACATTCATACACATGAAGTAAATAGTTCTTAAAAATAAATTTTTAAAAAAGATTTTATATGTTGAGTTGGACAGTGGTGGTACCTTTAATCCCAGCACTTGGATTTCAGTGAGTTCGAGGCCAGCCGGTCTACAAAGCAAATTTCAGGTCAGCCAGACTTGTTACACAGAGAAACCCTGTCTTGAAAAATCAACCAAACAAACAAAAGATTGTATTTGTAAGACAGACTTGGTGGCGCACAACTTCCATCCCAACATTTGTGAGGCAGAGGCAGGCAGTTGTTTGTGAGTTCAAGGCTAGTCTCATCTACATAGTAAATTCCAGGGCAGCCAGGGCTATACAGTGAGACTCTGTGTTTAAAAAAATAAATAAAATTTATTTTTGATTATGTGTGAGCATGTGTGCCTGTGTGTGGGTATGTACATATGAGTACATGCACTTGTGGGGCTGGAGATGTTAAGTCCTCTGGAGCTGGCGTCACAGGCGGTTGTGAGCCGCCTTCCATGGTATTGGGAAACAAACTCAGGACCTTTGCAAGAGCAGTAAGCACTCTCAACCACGGAGCCATCTCTCCAGGCCCATAAAAGTAAATAAATAAATGTAATTTAAAAAAACAGACCTTCAGGTGTGGTGGCTCCTGTTTATAACCCAAGCACTTGAGAGGCTGAGAGAGGAGAGTCCACACAAGTTCAAGGCCAGCCTGGTCTACCTATATCCAAAGTCTCAGGCCAGCCATGGATATATAGTGAAACCCTGGCTCATAAGGAAATAAATAGCAAAGACCTGACCTCACCCCACAGTGAGGACACAGGCCCTGAGAAGGGACTTGCCAGGGTCACCTGGCTCAGGTGTGTCAGAGCAGCTGCCTGGGTTACCCAGCTCTGGACAAAAGAGAAAGAGCTTCGTCATCTTGTGAGTGACAAAGAGGTGAGTTACCCCCGTAAAGGCAGTCCAAGGCCACAAGTCCCCTGGGGAGGGATTTCAGAGGACAGACCTCTGTGTCAGGAGTGTTGGGGTCCAAGAAAAGGAGCTCAATCCTGGATACCCCTCACCCCAATTTATAGCCCAGCCCTGAGGTACCTGGGACCAAGCTAGTCTGGCAGAAGCTTGTCACCAGGGCTTGTTATTCCCGCCCCTCCCCCCACTGACAGGGGCCCTCTACCACCCCAGCCTCAGTTTCTGGAATCTTCCCACCTACCCCTGCTGGCAAGCCCACACTGCCTTCCACTGGTCCTGTCCCTAGGCCCTGGGAGATGAAGGGGGCCTGGTTGGGTGAGGGCCCAGTGGCAGGGCCACCCTGGGGCTGCAGCAGCCAGAGCCTGCTGGGGGCCCATGGGGGTTGCAGCTACCTGTCTGGGTTTGAGGTGAGTCATTTCCTCCCTCAGCTGGCAGAGGCAGAGAGAAGAGGGGCGGGAGGGAACCGTCTAAAAATAGCCAGGCCCCAGACAAAGGAAGATGGCCAAAGAGCTGCCTGGGCAAGAATCCAATTTCTGGTGTCCCCCACCCCCACCCAGACCCCTATCCTTCTGGCTCAGGGTGGGCTGAGTATAAGGCCTTGAGGAGACTGAGGCACAGGGTGGAGAAGAGAGGAGCTGGAAGCAGGCAGGACTGGGACACTGGGGGTGTACCTTAGAGTGCTCTGCCCCAGCGAGGCTGGCAGAGATGGACTCCCATCGTAAAGCCCCTCTGCCTTACCACTTTCTCTCCCGCCCATCCACATGGACACACACCAACTCGACCCTCGTGTTTATCACTGTCTTCCGTCATTTTCTCTCCTCCTAAGACCCAGCCCCCTCTAAGTGGGCCTCTATTTCCCTGGTCAGCACAGAGACCTCCTGTGGACTCCCCTACCTTTCTTAAGCCACACTCCCTCCCGATGCCAAGGATGGTTAGGACCATTTTCACCAGAGTGAAACCGAGATGGTCTGGAACCTGTGGGGTACCCCATCTGACTCAGAGGATCTAGGTTCAAATCCTGTCCCTGTGACCCGAGACAAGTTGTTCCTTCTCTCCCTGCCTCCATTTGCCCGTCTACATCCGGTCACAGACTGTACAGGTCACCCACACTGACTTTGAGCAGCTCTTCCCAGAAAAGCTCACGTGATGAAACTGGAAACCTTAGCGGAAGATATACAGTCCTGAAGATGTCAGGGCTCACTGCCACCTCCTGGACCTATGACAAGAGCCTGCCTGGGCTCCCCTGTGATGGGGACAGAATGACTGGTTCTGAAGGAGATGTTTTACAATAACAATGACTATACTATATAGCTCAGGATGGTATTGAACTCATGACCTTCTTGCCTCATTTCCCCAGCACTGGGACTGTAGGTGCACCCTTCCTCCCTCACATCTGCCTTCTGAGTTGGCATTGCTGTCTCCACCCTACACAAGGAACAGAGGCCCGAGACACGAACTGGTAAGAGGATTGAGACTTGGATCACATCTGAGGACAGCCCCTTGTGCATTATAGGGTCCAGGAAGGGGTCAGTCATGTCCGAAGTCGTCTGAGGGGACATTAATCTCTGACTCTCTGCATTTATCCCATGGACTTCATGCCTGAGGACTATGGAATGGGTCGTGTCTGATTGAGGCACTGTGGTCCTACCCTGCCTCCCTCCTTCAGGGTCCCTGGGCCTCAGGACCCCTGCTGGGAAGCACAGAGGATCAAGGCCTAGCACCTCATAGCATCAGGCAACACACCATCCTGGAAAGCCACGCCACATCTGGACAGATCAGAGGCAGGAGAGCTAAGAGGTCACAGGCATACTTCCGGTCACAGAGCTAGGGGTAGCAGCCTGGGCTGAGCCCTGGCATCACAGACCTTACCCCAGGAAGTCTGTTGGGAACAGGGATTCTGGCATTTGCTGGGAACCATCCCTGTTTGCACGCACTAGGTTCCATGGAAAAACCCAAACCTTGCATCAGCTAGCCAGTCAACTCTGGTAAGAGCCTCTTTCAGCTTCTCTGGCTTTCCCCACCCGGTATCTGACTCATCCTCAACAGTCCCGGGAGACACAAGAGAGCAGGCTTCCGGTCCCTGTTGCATGGATGGAGAGATGGGCAGGAAGGGGCTTTATTGCAATGAGTCAGGGGCTAGAGCTGGTATCAACCCAGGCGGGCAGGCCACAAGTACCGCTAGGGGTGCTGGGCAATGACCCTAGGCTGCCAGCACAAATAAACAGTCTTCCTCGCAGGGATCTGGGAAGGAGGAAAGGAAGAGAGGGAGGGAGAGAGGGAGGGAGGGAAGGAGGGAGGGAGGGAAGGAAGGAAGGAAGAAAAGAAGTTAGCAAGGAAATTAGCTTCAAGTCCTGGGTCAACAGATGGCCTTTCTTTTCTTTCTTTCTTTCCTTCCTTCCTTCCTTCCTTCCTTCCTTCTCCCCCCACCCCCAGATAGGGTTTCCCTGTGTAGCAGTCCCATCAGTCCCGGAACGAGCTCTTGTAGACCAGGCTGGCCTCGAACTCACAGAGATCCTCCTGCCTCTGCCTCCCAAGTGCTGGGATTAAAGGTCTGCACCATCACAGTGCGGCTCAGATGGCTTTTCTAAAGTAGAAAATGTCTGGTCCTAAAGAAACCCCCCACCCAACAAGTCTCACCTGTGACTCCTCCCACACTTCTCACCCCGCCCCCTACCCTAAACCTCTCCAAACAGGGGCGGGGCTTCCCTTCCCCCAGCTTCTGATTCCTACTTAATTCAGTCAGTCATTTTGGCCCTACAAGCCCTTGGTCCTCTTGGCCTCTTTGTCCTCAACTCCCCCCTTGGCCCAGTTATGCCCTCTCTCACCGTGCCTCCCCTGCTCTCCCTGCCTCTCTCCTCTCCTCTCACGGCCCAGTTGGGTCTGGATCCTTCCAGATACCCCTCTCTGTGACCCTCATACCTACAATAAAACCGGTCTCCCCAACCACACCTAGGAGCAACCATGTCCTCATTTTCATTCAGAAGGCTCTATGAGTATAAATCGAAAGGGGAAAAGTGGGGAACGGCCTTGCTTCAGTGACGAATGGGGCCGTGGGCATCAGTTCAGTTCAGGGAAGCTATCCCATCATGTGCTGGGTGAGTCTTCGTGAATAATGGGACTTGACACGCTAGCCACTCTGTTCAAGTTTTTATTTGTTTATGTATGTGCATGTTTTGTTTGCATGCATGGATACCTGTGCACCACGTATATGCCTGGTGCCTGCAGAGGCCAGAAAAGAGCTGGAATTGCAGACCTTAGTGAGCTGCCGTATGGATGCTGGGAATTGAACTGGGGTCATCTGGAAAACCACCCAGTGCTCTTCACTCCCGTCTCTCTAACCCCACTAGTATCTTTAAATCCCCACGACAACCTAATAATAACTTCCATCCTCCCTGCTCAGCAGATTTAGCTTTCTGAGGCTCAGAGAAGTTAACTAACTTATGTAAGGACACGCAGCCCAGTCCTTGTTCCAACAGGCCTGAGACAACAGGGGAGTCAAGAGGCTTAGAACTTTTCTCCAAACAAGTGCCCCAGCGCGTGCGCGCCCACGTCGGGCTGTCCAGGTGTGTCTGCGGGTTGGCACCCTGTCCGGGTGTGTCTGTCAGTGCTTCTGGGGGTGGAGGGACTGGAGCGGAACAGAACAACGGTTGCCTGGGGAATGAAGTTAGAAGGGCTGAACTGCAAGGGGAGGCTTTAGGCATGTGTGCTCACGTACCTCAACCCTACCCCTACCTCAACCCTACCCTGTGTGCTCAAGGGTCTGGGGTACTCCTCAGCCGACCCTGGAAACCCAGGGTGGAGGAGGAGCCAACGCTGCCACCCGGTCCCCGCCCGGGAGCCGGCAGACGGGCCGGGGAGCACGTTTGCCCCCGATTGCCTCATCGGCTGAGTCTGCTTCTAGGACTCCCGCACGTTGAACAGAGCGTAGGGCGCGGCCGCCGGGGTTGTCCCGGGTCCCGAGTCCCCCATCCTCCTTCTCAGCCTAAGTCCCCGGTGGCCCATTAACCAGGCGGCCAGCGCCTTCTCCAGACGCCTCTGATAGCCGCTGCCCTTTGCTCCTGCTGCCGAGCAGACAAACGAGGGAAATGGAGTAAGCCGGCGGCCAGGCAGGAAACAACGGCCCTTTGTGTTCTTCAGCAACTTGGTGGGGGGGGGGGGGGGTGCGAGGGGACGTGACTGCTGCAGAGATTTCTAAAGCTGAAGAGACGGGGCACCCCACGACTGCCTGCAACCCTCCTGCTTGGTCTTCCTGTCTCACAGCACCAGGACCAGGCGCGGGGTGGAGAGCAGGGATGGGGGCGAGGCAAGATGCTCCACAGATTCTTGTTTAATGGGTGTCCTCAAACTCTTCCGTTAGTGGCTTTCAGAGTTTAGGCTAGGTTTAGGGCTCGAAGGCTGACAATTTGGTTTGAGATTTCGCCTTTGCTGTGGGTTTGATGTTTTATTTGGCCAAATTCCTTGACCTCTTTGGGAAGCATGTCTTTAAGTTCACAGTAAGGCTCAGAGGCACAGGCGAGGCACTGAAGTTCCATGTGAAACATGGCCAGCCACATACACACACACACACACACACACACACACACACACACACACACCAGTGCTGGGAATTGAACCCAGGACCTCATGCATGCTAGGTATGGCCTTTATCATCTATGCCCTCAGCCTAGAGCTCAGGTTTAACACCCTGTGATAGGAATACGTCCAGGACACCTACAGAATCCAATCCAAAGTCCTGGGTATTCTCCACCTCCTCGCCTGCCTAGCCTCACTGCCATCTACACTCTTGCAGCACTAAGTGTCTCTGGCTTCCTTATGCCTTTGCTTGCGCTGTTCCCTTTGCACAGAATGCTTTTCCTTACATGCCTCAAGCAAAAGGCTCCTTGCCGAGATCGCCATTTTAACGTCACCTTTGCAGAGACTTTTCACAAAACTGGGTCCTGGTTACTGCTGAGAGCATGCTGGCTGTTCCTGCCCTCCAGAACCCCCATCTCAGCCCTGGAAACTCAGTCAAGGAGACACTCTATTTTCCTTCTCTCCGTCCTCTTGGCCCTCCTCAGGTGCCTGGGATACAGCAAGGGCTCACTGAACACCATGGGATACGGGGACACGTGACTATCAATGACACTCAATCCAGCTGAACATCATTAGTGCCAGTCTTACCTGAGATGCAGCTCTATGTGGCCAGCATGCACTACAAAGCAAGCAAGCAAACAAATGAACAAAGAAACAAAAAACCACTTTCTCTGCTTGTATTTATTTGTATGTGTGTGTGTCCATGTGCACATGCAGAGAGGAGTATATGCTTGTGTGTGTCTGTTTGCACATTCATGTGTGCATGTGGGGAGGAGCATGGGTGTCCATGTGTACATGTAGGAAGGAGTTCGTTGGTGGTGTGTGTGTGTGTGTGTGTGTGTGTGTGTGTGCGCGTGTGTGTGTGTGCGCGTATAGAGGCCAGAGGTTGACAAGTATCTTCCTCAATCACTCTTCACCTTCTGTTGGCCCTTCAGCTCTGATCCTTATGCACACTTTACCAACTGAGCCATTCTCCTAACTCTTTGTTTTTTTTCTTCTTGACAAGGTCTCATGTAGCCAAGGCTGTCCTAGATTACATAGCCAGAGCTAGCCTTGAATTCCTCTTGCTTCTCTTGCCTCCCAGGTGCTAGGATTGCACAGATGTGCACCATTATACCTGGTTTGTGTGACTTCGAGCATTTACTTTTGTGAAATGCAATAAATAATTAAAGTAGGTTTTTGGGGTTTTTTTTTTGCTTTTGTTTTTGTTTTTGAGACAGGGTTTCTCTATATAGCAGCTCAGCTGTCCTGTCACTATCTTTGTAGGTCAGGCTGAAAGTCCCAGAGATCTACCTGCCTCTGCCTCTCGAGTGCTGGGATTAAAGGTACTTGCCACCACACCCAGATCTAATAAAGGTAGATTTTATTTATTTATTTATTTATTTATTTATTTATTTATTTGGTTTTTCAAGACAGGGTTTCTCTGTAGCTTTGGAGACTGTCCTGGAACTAGCTCTCATAAACCAGGCTGGTCTTGAACTCACTGAGATCCACCTGCCTCTGCCTCTCGAGTGCTGGGATTAAAGATGTGTGCCACCATTGTCCGGCTGAGGTGATTTTAAAGAAATATGTTAAAGTAAGGCAATACACATTAACTTAATTGCTCCACTATGGTAGAACATTTGCTAGCATGGCCCAGACTCTTGCTGTTGACCCTAGCACCAGAAGAGGGAAGTCTGGCAAGGCAGGACATGCTTACTCTGCACTCCAGAGGAGAGGCTGGCAGACCTCTGGGAGTTCAAAACCAACCTGGACTACAGAGTAAGACAACGAAATAGAGCAAGGACAGTGTCATAGGTGACTGTCCTCCAAGCCAAGCAGTTGCATCCCCTTGCAAAAGATCATCCCAGCTGGACTCTTGATGGTTTACACACATCACAGAAGAATGGAGAGGACCGGTGGACCCGAGCATCCATGCTCTTCATCAACTGTTGTGTGCAACTCTATCTTTGTTGCATGTACCCTGGGGGCAGGGCCAGAGGAAGACTGGGGTTGGGGGTGGGTATAGGAACACCTCATGTCTCCTGGGTGTGGCCTTATGGGAGGAGCACCCACACCACTGTAAGAAACCCATCACCTAAGCTCTGCAAGGAAGCAAAATAAACTCACTGGTTCCCAGAGTAAAACTTCGGTGGGATCATGTCTCCCTTTTGTCTTAGGAGGGGGTGTAGATGTTGCCTGTCTCCCTCTGAGAAGGAATTTTAGCAACAAACAGCAAGCTTGGCTACCCCAAGGGGACAGTGCAAATGTTGTCACAACCTTAAGGACGGTCCCCTCCTGAGTCTGCCCTGTCCCAGGAGCTGCTACTGTGGCACCAGAATTATCTACCCGGTGTGGATGAAAGCACACAGCCAACAATGAACGGCGGGACAGGCTGACACCAGACAGCCATCTTCCCCTGCAGGCTATCCCCTGAGCTTCCATGTGGCAGAGGCTGGCCTAGTACAAGGGTGGGCCCAACTGGCTCACCGGAGCTGTGGAACCGTCTGGGCTGCAGGAAGGCATACAGGATGGCAATCTGCCAGCTTGCACACTCACCTGCTGTCTGCTCCACATGGCTCCCATGAGACCTAGAACAACTGGCTCAGACCAACTGAGCCAGGAAGGAAAGGCTGCCAGGACTTGGGGTCAGCTGTCTGGGCTTCTGTCCCCTTGGGTACAGTGCTTGTTGTCTGTCTGGAGGCAGAAGAGTGCAGCCTCTGGCTACTGTGTAGTTAGCATTCAAGGGCTGGGGAAGTAGCTGTTGGTAGGGCAGTGTTCACCTAGCATGCATAAGGCCCTGGGTTTGATCCCTAGAACTGAATGAGCCAGGCATGGTGGGGCACGCCTGTAATCCTAGCACTTGGGAGGTGATTGCAAGAGGATGAGAAATTCAAGGGCATCCTTGGCTCCATTCTGAGTTCAGACACAGCTTGGGCGACATGAGACCGTGTTTCAAACAAACAGGAGAAGTTAAAGCACACAGCGGCCCGGCTTCATTGTGTATTCTCATCCCGAGCCTGCAGTAAGCACCCTTCCCCCACTCCAGCCCTTCTCAGAACCTGTTTAGCCCATCTAGGAGATGACAGGTGACTCTCTGTTCCGACGACGTCACCTGGTTGCCAGTGGTTTCATGTGACCTTGCCTCTCTGGGCCTTGGTTTCCTCAGTAAACGAGACAGCGCATAGGAAGCGATTAGAGGCCTCTGACATGCATTGTGTCAACTGTCTGTGTGTGCTGGCTACTCTCCCTGTGGCTGGGAGAACAACGCCGCCTCCAGCTGAACCCTCTGATGGGGTTCAGCTCCCTAACACATGTGAAACACATGGCTGTGTGTTATGGTTAGTTGTCTTGCAGAAGACAAAGTGGGGGTACAGTCGGACCTTGATCCTAGAGATTTTGAGGTACTAGCACGATGATTCATAGATGTCCTGGGTCCCCACAGCTATGACTTTATGGGATTTCGTGGCACTGAGTTCTCTGGCCCCTCTGACCTATCCAGATCAAACTCCTAGCCGGTCTTTCCCAACACACTCCCCTGGCAGCTGTCACCAGCAAAGGCACTGGGCAAAATGTCAACAGTGCTGCAAAATACGTTGGGACTTTATCTGACCCCTGGCTTCCATCCCAACCAGAAATACATTGGCTGAAACTCGCTGGCGAGCTGGAGCAAGCCCGGGGCTGGAGGAGGAAAGCAGTCTGGGTCACTCGCTGCACATATTTTCCCCGTTTTACTAATTGATGCAGTTGTTTCTTGTTAGGAAGCAGTTTTTAAAACCTAAGGCTTCAGCCGAGCCCAGGCAGGCTCTGCAGAGAAGGGAGCAAAAGAGCCCTGTCGCTCCCCTCCTCCCACTGCCCCCACCCCCCCTTATTCAGGTTAGTGCACTTTCCTCCTGCCCCCTTTCTTGAACTTTCCGGTTTCTGCGTGCTGGGACAGCCTTTGGGGGCAGCAGACCGCCACTCCAGGATGGAACAGGGACGGGCTTTGAAGGGGGGCGGTTCTCAGTCAAGAGCAACCCTCCCTCCCCCACCCTGCCGCGGCCTCTAGCAACTGCTGCAGGGAGGTCGGTCTCAGGCAAGCCTAGAAGGTCCTAGGTCAGTCTTAACAAGTCTTCCCACCCAGTACTTCTAGAAAAAAAGACATTGTCACAAAAGAGAAATCCCAGGAGTGCCCCACCCCAAGGCAGGAAAAACAAAAAGCAAAAAGCAAAAACCTTGTCCCGGGTCTCAACTCAAAAAAACAACAGACCTGGGAATTGACCTGCCTAGTTTGTGTGTGTGTGAGTGTGTGTGTGGTGGTGGTGGTGGGGCGCTGACTCCCAGCACTGCAATAGTAATCGATAATAATAAACAGATAAATGAGTTAAACAAGAGAGGGCTTGTGGATGGAGGGAAACGGGGGAGAAAAAGCAATGAGGTCAGAGTTGGAGTAGACATTCAGTTATCCATTCCTTAGGCCACACAAACTCATAGCGGTCCGCCCCAGTCTCCTCAGCCCTGGGATTGCAGGGGTGTTCCCTTCCGTGCTGCCTCGGCTACGC